CAAAAGAAATTCTGAGAAAAGCTCTATTGGAAGAAGTGGGAACAGTCAGAAAACAAAGAGTCCCAGGCTGGGGGGAGGAGAGTTAGGAAATGGGAACTTAAAGGGGAAAGGAGGTGGGGGGCAGAGGTCTGAAGTTCTGTTTCACCAATTATTACCTAAGAAATCCCTTTTTGCTTAATTACCTTGTGTGTGTTTAAGTTCAGATTCCACACCGAGTTTTATATAGGGAGACTTGAGGGGCTTTTGAAATAGACGTGCAGACATCTGGTTGAGTTTGCTAGTTACAGTGGCTCATTGGACATGAAGGAGAATGTTTAATTTAATTATTGACTTTGAATAGACATTTTGCCACTGCTAATAATATTAGCTAGATTAATGAATTGTTCGAGGGTTATAGAGACAAAGAACACTATTGAGAGTTACTGTTCATCAATATTTGGACAGCCTTTCCCAGAAGAGTCACACAAGTCACATGTGTTATTGTAAAATATTTTTGTGCTTGCCTATCTTGTCTCAGATTTCTCTCTCTCTCTCTCTCTCTCTCTCTTTAAATTTAAAAGAAGTATTAGTTGTCTTTTGATACAGGTATTATTATTGTGAAAGTCAGAACTTTTTCTGTACGTGCTATCCTACGGCATCTCCATACTAAGTCTTCCTCCAAATGGAGTCTGATACATAGTAAATCTTTCTTAAATTTTTAAAGCTGGGAGCACTGGAGGTCTGTGGTCTGTGTCTGGTCCCGGCATGTAGGTGCTGAGGAGGGGCATAGAGTTGAATTCCACTGCAGATATAGTATGGTAGCTGATGGCCACATCTCATTTCATTTTATACATTTGTCCACTCAAAACTTAAGACTTGAATCAGTGTGGCTTAAAGAGGTATTTATTTTTAGAGTCTTAAGCTCATTATTATTCCAAAGAATTTTAGAAGCATGCCTGTAGTCTCAGCCTTAAATAAGTATAATATTTCCAGCTTTAGGCCAAGAAGATTGCATTTGATATATGTTTTGACAATAGTTAGGTTTATCATCAAAGTGAACATTTTACCACAGGGATTTTAGATAAAATTATATCTCCTTTTTAGATGATGCTTTTCTCTGCCCAACAGTTTGACAAGCAGGTGTTTTGATATTTTAGTTTGAACTGGTTGCTTCTGTTCACAAGCTGTGTCATCATTGCAGGAGCACCTTCCTTTTCCTTATGGGTGAAATCAGAAGCTGGATGTATCTGCTCATCCCTAAGGTAGTTCTCTCAGGAGCACTCAATACAGTACCCTGTCTCCAGATATTCAGCAAAGCAGTAAATAATCACTTATAACATTATATGGGCACCTGCCTCCATCTTGGGAAACCATGTAACAATGTTGAACCTCTCTGCCTTCTTTTAACACCAACAAATGAAATGTGTTGAATGAAAAGCAAGATATCCGTCTGAATATGTGGAAGAGGTTCTCATGGGCTCAGAGGTGTATGGTGCAGCAAGACAGGAGCACAGACTTTGCAATACCTTGTTTTTAAAGCACACACTACTGTAACAATTATGCAACTGTCTATGAATCATTATAGTTAAGGACCTAACCTCTCTGATGTGGCATGCTAGAATGGAGAAGGGAATGAGTGAGATTTGCAAGACATAACCCTACTACGAAAGTATTTTTTAGAAGATTGATATAAATATAACATCTCTATTATTTGTTTAAAATATGTTGGGAATATATCACAATTTTTAAAAATGTATCTTCCATAATATTTTCCAGGAGAACTCCTTGCCTTTTTCCTCATGCCCAAACCATACATTCAGCATTTTTCAATGGTCAGTGTTAACTGGATGAAGCATCAAAGATTTTCAAACGTGATCCTTTCTTGGGCCATTCTTGCAGGGAGAAGATGGCCTCAGAAATTCCACTCTGAGAACACAGAGGTCCCCAGTAAGAGAGAGAGCAAGGACATTAAACTGATACATTTTACCTTCCTCCATAAATGTTTCATTGCTGTCTCTCACCCCGAGGTGAGGCTCATCGCCTTAGCATAAGAGAGAGCTTGTTTCCAACTTCTAGGCAGTGCAGAAAGGCTTGGAAATCAGGTGAGGCAGGGGGGATAGGGGTTGCCTAGAGATTTCTAAATTCTTTTTTTCCTGCCTTCACACATTAAAGGCTAAGACTAAAGGATTCAAGTCCTATGCTTTTCCTCTAGTGTAGCACGGATGCAGGGTATGTGGAATGTTTTTCATGAGTGAGGTTGACAAAGGTAAGGAGAGGTGCAAAAGACCTGAGACAGAGCCACAGAAAAAGTTACCAGCCAGAAGAGTTCCTGAGGGTCACCAGTCCAGAGCTACCCTAGACCCCCTGTGGTCACGGAGCCAAGAGGCTCACCACAGGGCTGCCTGCTGTGGCAGGACCAGGTCACTGCTTTCAGAGGCAGGGGTAGCCCCCAGGCTGGTGGGCCGTATGAGAACCCCCAGAAGACTCTGAGAGGGTTGCAGCGCACAGGAGCTGTGGCACAGTGCTCACCAGGCTGAGAAGTCAGATCACAGGCTCCAGAAGCTGCTGATTTCAACAAACTGCAACCAGGAATCATCCAGGTGACAAATGACCTGTTCCCAGAGAGCCAAGGGCAGACAGAGCTGCTTTTCCAAAGACCCCACCTCGTCCCTTCCTCCATTGGGACACAAAGTCTCTCCCAATATTCACTCTAAAGCCATTTTAGAGATGATAAAATGGGAAAGAGAGGCCAGCCGAGAGACAGTTGAAATTTTCTGAAAATGGCTATTTAAATTATGAGCTCAGTTGGATGTTTGAACATTAATTTTTCCTCCCAGCTAACCAGTTGGAAGGGGCTTGGAATTATGTTCAGATTAGTTAAAACCAAAAGAACAAAATGTTTTCTCTGCACATCAAAGTTATGAGTTCAATTTGCCACCTTGCTATAGCTTTTAAAAGTAATAAAAACAAGTCCAGCTGAGATAATGTACAGAACTATAAAGCCTACAGTTACAAGGCATTTGAAGGTATTTGAAGGCCACAGTCCCCCCACCCTGCTTCTGGAATCACTGCTTGGAAAATACTCCTTTCTCCTTATTTTGCTGTGAAAATAAAATCACTCTAAAAAAATAAGGTCTGTTTAAAAAAAAAAAAAAACAAACTCCTTTAGTACCTTCTTAAATTCTTCCAGGGATAGAAATGGCCATCATTGAACAAAGCATAAAATATGTCTTTCTTCTTTTATGTTGAAATCTGATTTTTATATTCCCTTTACCTAGTGTCCTCTGAAACATCTTTAGGTGATCACTTTTTTTTTTCCTTCCATTACCTTTCCCTGGGATGTAAATTAGCAATTACTTAGCTCCCACAACGAAGTCTGAGGTCATAAATGAGGGCAGACAGTAATTTAATCTGTGAGAGACTGTGATATCATCTAGTTAGTTTGGTAACAACAGCAAACCATAGAGTACTTCCTATTCATAGTGACTCAGTTTTTTTTTTCTCTCTCTTTGAACTAACAGACTTTTCTTTACCAGAAAAAATCAAATAATAACTTCAATCTTGGTAAAAATTCCAAAGCTAATCGAAATCTTTCTTCTTAAAATCTATGAAAGAGCAACCAAGCCAATTTGTGTGCGTTTTAAGTAATCTGTTGAAACAGGAAAATTCCGATGGCAAAGTCAGACAACTTGCAGCAACATAATACATTTGTTTATTTAGTTAATATTACAGTGGTAACAGGTTAAGAGCACTAGATCTGTGTCCTCAAAAGAGGATAGTGATCAAGATTTTTATTTGTAAATTTCACTGTTCTTAACTATTAAAAATCTATTTTCCAAAGGAGTAATAATATGCATTATTTTTAAATGACAGATCTAAACTTTCAAATTTATGACCCAAAGCATATTTGTTCATTAAACAAAACAGTAGGGACATTTTAACTATTGGTTGCTGCTTTCAGGAAAGCACAATGTTCTTGAAGCAAATATACACAAAACATATTTTTCCATGGTGATTTCAGCCATTGTGTATCATGTCAGTGAGGGAACCTGAGAACCCCAGATGTTGAGAACTCTCCGATTGTTGCAATACACTCTGGTTTACTTAAACACTCAACCAACAAACATGTATTTAGTGCCTACTATGTACAAGCCAGCATCCTAAAGCAATACAGGAAACACAAAGAAGTAAAATTATTGGTTCTTGCCCTGCTCAGGCTTCCAATGAAGTGGTCAGATTAAACACAGACACAAATTACTCTACTTTCAATGTCTTCAAAAGAAGTGATGATGTTAACTAGATCGTATGTTAGAATCACCTATGCTGGAACCGAGAGGAAGCAGGGACATAAGCAGGGGCATCCTCGGCACCGATTAAAGTCTGTCTGAATCAGATTTCAGAGTTCTAAGTCTGAGGGCTGCTTAAACCCTTGTATCTGAAAGTGTTCTAGCCAGTCTCACACCTGCCACTGTGAGTGACTGTATTTGGCAGTTGTCTCACGTACTCATGATAAGGGAGCAAGATAAATAAATATATATATATAGTATGTGAGTATATTATGATTTGAATACAGTATATATTATTTGAATATAGTATATATTCAAATCATATGTAGGGTGATGTTGAAAGCTAGGAGTTCGGGACTTTCCACTCTGCATGGGAGAAGGCTAACCCACGTTATTTATTTATTATAAGACAAACAAGAGACTACATAAGAAAAGTACGGAAAACTCTCCAAACTTCACTGAACACAAGCAAAAATAGAAAGGCTAGAGGAAAGGATAAGAAAAGAGGGCCTAGCACAGAGAGGCTTGGACGGGACCCTGGGGAGAGAGCCTTCCCCACTGCTACCTCCGCGTCCGCCCCATCGCCAGTGTCCCGAAGAAGAGGCCCTGGGCTAGGCAAGTGGAGAAAAGGAAAGCAGAGACACATTTTTTTCAAACACCACAAATAAAATAAATAAATATGTTAAGCAAGAAAATAACCTATTAGGCACCGCTTGAAAGGCAGCAGCCCTCAGGGGTCGGGCAGACCGCACCCTCTACCTGCAGGTGGCGGCGACGCGGTCGGGATCGGCCGAGACTGGGAAGACGTCACCTGAGGTCCCGGCCCGGTGCCTGTCGTTACTCTTGGATGTGCACCTCCAGAAGCTTGGGTGAAGGAGAAAGCCTAGTGGAGCTGCAGCCAAGCTCCCGGGCGGCCCCCGGGGAAAGTGCGCCCTGTCCTTCCTGGCCTAATGCAGACCAGCGCCCCGGGAGTGCCTAGCTCTTGGTCTCTGAAACTAAAAGAGCCGTTTGTGAGCCGGGCGGGAGGGGGGCTTCCATTACAAGCCCTCCTCCCCCACCAAAGCCCGGAATCTTTTAAAAACCCCTAGTCGCTTGTTCTCAGCTCCTTTTTTGCTCCAAAGTGGGCTTTGAATAAGGACTGCGGGATGCCTGGGGTTCGAAGCGCGGGACCGATTTTACTAAGCACCTGGCTCCGCTCTGGGTGGAGTGGGAGGGGCGGAGGGGCTCGGCGAAGCGCGCACCTTCCTTTCACCCGAGGGTGGGAGAAAGGACCAGCTGCCGAGATCCTTCTCAAGACTGACTTCCTTTGAAGTAGGGCTGCAGAAAGGGAGAGTGGTGGTTCTCGAGACTCCGCTAGAGGCATCAAGCAGAATCTGGCGAGCGAGGGGCCCTGCAAGGCGCGGCTGAGGGCCAGCTGGGTTTTCCCGAGGGAAACCCGTGGCGGTAACCGTGGCTCAGCTTAAACAGAAACGACGGCTGGCGGGGCTGAGGGTCAGGCTCAGCTGGCGACGTTAATAAGTTCACGATCTGCACCGGTAGGACGGGGCGTAAAGAAAGACCGAAATTGCCAAGGGAGGGGCGAAGAGGGATGCAGAAGTGCAATCGCAGGGGAGAAAGAAGCGAAAGAGGAGAAGGGGGCCCGCTAGTCTTCCCAGTTTATACGCAAAGCGTCCAATTCCACCTTTGTCGCGCGCCTTTCCCGGGTCTCCACCAGAAGCACACAGTGTCCTAGCCCCACTTTCCCCATTGCACCCTGACTCCTGGGATACTTTCACCTCTCGCACCCGGCCTTCCTTTCTCCTCATCCTCCCCTTCTCTTGGTACAAAGCCCCTGCTTGGCCCGGGCTCAGAGAGTAGTGATCCGGGACGTGCAGGTGCCATTACGGAAGACGCCGCCGGACTCCAGGTTCTCAGGCTGGAAGTCCTCCACACTGTAGGCGCGGCTCTTGAGGGCCGTGGCGTAGTAGTCGACTGGCTCCTCGGCGGCGTTGTCCATCCAGCTGAGGCAAAGGATGCGCTGGAAAGAGCGCTTGAAGTTGTCTGAAAGGAAGCCATAGAGGATGGGGTTGGCGCAGCTGTTGGCATAGCCGAGGATGACCGACAGCTGGCTCACCGTGGCGTCGTCCTGCTCTGCGAACACGTTGACTAGCTGCACCACATAGAAAGGCATCCAGCAGATGACAAACACCATCACCACCATCATCACCATCAGGGTGATCTTGCGCTCTGAGCGCTTGCGCTGTTGCCAGCCGGCCTTGAGGGCCACCATGCGCATTTTGGCGATGATGAGCACGTAACACAGGCAGATGGCCCCGACGGGCAGCAGAAAGCCCATGAGAAAAGTGTACAACACGAAGCCCACCAGCCAGCGCTGCGCGGGCTCGGGCATGAGCATGTTGCAGGCCACCGTGCCGTCACTGTTGGCCGCCGTGCGCGAGAAGACCACGATGGGCAGAATGACGAGCAGCGATAGCACCCACACGCCCAGATTCACCACCTTGGCCACGGTGGGCCGGCGGTAGCGTGCTGCCTTGATAGGGTGCACCACGGCCACGTAGCGGTCCACGCTAAGCACAGTAAGACAGTAAATGCTGGTGAACATGTTGACTGCGTCCACGCTGAGCACGAGGCGGCAGAGCAGCGCGCCGAAGGGCCAGTGGCGAAGCAACGTGGAGGTGACCAAGAAGGGCACGCTGAGCATGAGCAGCTCATCGGCGATGGCCAGGTTGAGGATGTAGATGTTGGTGGCCGTCTTCATCTTGGCGTAGCGCAGGATCACGTAGATGACCATGGAGTTCCCACACAGCCCCACCAGGCACACCACGGAGTAGATGAAAGAGATGAGGATAGCGCTGCCCTGGCCCTCGCTCAAGGTCCCGTTCTGGGACGCATTTCGCCCCGGCTCCTCCATCCCGTCTGCTGCTCCGGCCCCGGGGCCCCTGCTGCCGCCGCCTTCGCCACAGCTGCCTGGGCTGGGGCTAGGAGAGGAGGGAGAGGAGGCGGTGCCATTGGGGAACAACATGGGGGCCGATGGGGCTGCCAGGGCTGGGGAGTTCTACTGGCGCCCCCGCCGCTTGCGCTGTCACTTGGCACCCCGGCCGTCCGCCCGCAGCTCACAGCCGCTGGGCGCCTGGGGTAAGCGCTCAGAGACTGCAGGGAGCGCGGCTCCACCGGCGCCGGCGGAGCGCATCGCCCAGCGGCTGCCTGCGCGCAGCCGCTCGCCGCTCCAGGGCACCTGGGCACACGCGAACGTGCCGGGAGACTAGGGCCCCGCGCGGCACAGCCATTAACTGCCGCGGCTGTGGGCTGGTGAATGATTAATAGGCACCACCCGCGCGTCAGCAGCTACGAAAATGGGGGGGGGGGGCGGAGAAAGAGAGGGAGGTAGGCGATATAGGTGGCTTATCACCCCTCGCCCAATTTTTTCTTTCCCAGTTTTGAGCTCCGATCGACTAGAGCAGCTGCTTCTGGGGTTCCCCTGCAGCACCCCTTTACCCATCCCCTTCAGGGGGACCTGGGGAGTTTCTCCGCTTTCATGAAGGGTGGATGGGAAACAAAGGTGGAGATTCTGTCCCATCTCACCCTGCTTCTATCCAAAGCAAAGACTGAAGCAGACCCTAGGCACGGATGTCTGGAGTTCATCTCCGTTTCCCTCAGTTGCTGCCCCACCCTGGGGGACCCACTCCCGTCCAGTCGTCCGGGACCCCAAACTCCCCCCCCCCCCGCCTGCTCTGCTCCTGAGAACCGCTGCGGAAGTCCTTACCCAGGGCACGCTACCTCCAGACCGACGCGTAGATGGCCCGTGCAAAGTGCCTGTGAGGTCTGGTAGCGCGGTGACGTTCTTCGTGCGGTCCCACTCCTTTCCTTGGGCGGGACCCCAGCACAGGCGCCCACTCAGATTTACTCTGAAGAGTCGCGGAAACTGACCCTACGCCGCGAACATTACAAGGAAGAAGGACAGCAACTGTGCGTTAGGGACTCCTGCGTTACAACCCCGCAGGCGGCTCTTCGAGGGAGGGAGTGTTCGGAGGCCTGAGAAAATCATCGCGAATCTCTTAATACAGCTTGTAGTGCCCAGAGCCCACTGCGTCTCCCAGAGGAAAATCGACTTTAGAAAGGAGGACGCGCGCCTGGGGGCACAGAAGGAGCCCGAGGCTCCCCCGCCTCCCCCTCCCCGCCCCCTCCCCTCCCAAACGTGCCAGGCGCGGTATTGGAAATCCATCTAGGTGTTCGCTGGGTATAGATACGGCTGCGCCGCTTGGAAAGGCTCCGCCCGCATCCCTGATGTACTTTGTACCCGGGAGAATTGGTGGGCCCCGGGGGAGGAGAGTGTATAGGCCTGGGAGAGCAGGGATGCCAGTCGGGACCGGCAGGTGATCAGACCTGTCACCAACTCCAGGAACATCAGGAAGACCTTCGAGTCTCTCTGTGAAATACTTAAGATTGCATTTTTCTGAGGCCCCTGGATGTGTGCCAGGTGCCTAAACTTTTAAGACACAAAAATCAATGTAGGCATGCCTAAAGCTCACTGACTTCATTTAGGAACTGAACAGTTACTGTGTTTAAAAAAAAAAAAGTTCAATTATCATGGTTTTTAAGGATCTCTAGGACTTTCCACCATCCCTAGTCTGGGCTCCCTTTGGCTTTCCAATCCTTCCAGTCCAAAGAAGAATCACTCCATCCAGCTCCCCAATTCTTTTCAAGATCCCTTCAAGTCTTTGTCTGAACCGTGCAGGTTCCCAGGAAGACTGACCTTCAGCAGCCTAGTGCTGCGGGGCCTCTTTCAAGCCTAAGCTTTGTGTCAGTTTTTGTTAGTTCTTCCTCTCAGCCAGGCAGCACCCACTGTGCTGTGAGTCTCAGCTTCCCTCTCATCAGTACAGTTTACACTAAGAAGACGCAAACCTAAACAGAAACTAAATTCCTCATCGAGGATATTTGTACCAGACAGTCCAGAATGCAGAAATGGATGCAGAAATTGGAAGGAAAAAAAAATTAAAATTTCTATTTCCCCCTTGCTTTATCTGGGTATCATTTGCATGTATGTGCTTTAGTTCTCAAAACTAAGTGCTCCTCAAAGCAAAAGAATAACTTTTGTAGTGTGTTGATTATAGCAATCAGAGATAAAAGAAAAGATGACAGACTGTCACAGGAATGTGTGCAATGGACACTGAATTATTAATGAGAAATGTGCTGGGAAGAAATCTGAAATTTCCTAAGACCCAAGCTGCTTAACCCATTGCTTTATCTCAACAAATTACTTTAAGTAGGATGTGGAATTCGTGGTTAGTTGTATTTCATTTTCCTTAAAAAATACAGTGCATATGGAGAAAAAAAAAAAAGAATGTTCATCAGGTTTTTTAAAAACTGGCTTCTTTTTCCCCAGCAGAGCTTTTAACAAGCCAAACCTCGTAATGATTTAAATGCCTCTTTGCCAGTCACTGACTAAGGACACCTGGCTATTCCTCAGGGGGGTGACATTTCAACAGTCATCATCTAGATGCCTTGGCTTTGATCACGGTTGCTCCAGGGGGAGTGGGTGATGGGAGCCAGTAAAGCACAGCTCTGTTGTTCAGGATCTCATATGTTTATTTTGCAGCTCATTTTAGGAAAATCTCCTCTCAATTTACTGGTAGCCTCATATACAAAAGAAGAAAACTTAAGACCTGATGTGAGCATGCTTTTTTGTTTCTTTGTGAAGTGGTTTCTATGATGAATTTTTAATCCATGAAAAGAGACTGACAATAAGATGCTACTTTACATCCACTAGGGTGGCTATAATAATTTTTTTTAAGGAAAAGAAGAATAACAAATGTTGAGCATATGGAGAAATTAGAACCTTTTTATGTTGCTGGTGGGCATAAAAAATGATGCAGCAACTTTAGAATATTTGATGATTCCTCAAAAAGTTAAACAGAATCGCCATATGACCCAGCAATTCCACTCCTAGGTATTTACTCCCCAAAACCAAAATAGGTATTTGAACGAAACACTGTCCATGAATCTTCATAACAGGACTATTCATAGTAGCCAAAGAGATCAACAATCCAAATATCCATCAGCTGATGAATGGATAAACAAGATGTGGTCTATCTTTTTATGATCCATCCATAAAAAGGAATGAAGTTTCAAAACGCACTACAACATAGACAAACCCTGAAAACGTTACACAGAGTGAAGGAAGCCAGACACAAAAGTCACATATTGCATGATTCCATTTATATGAAACATCCGGAGCAGGCGAATCCATAGAGACAGAGCAGCTCAGAGGTTGGTAGGGGTTGAGGGGGAGAGGGAATGGGAAACGAGTGCTTCATGGGTATGGGGTTTTTTGGGGGGTTTATGAAAATTTCTGGAATTAGATAGTGGTGGTGGTTGCACAATGCTGTGAATGTACTAAAAGCCACTGAATTGTACACTTCGAAATGGTTAAGATTATGAATTTTATGTCATGTGAATTTCTCTTCAATAAAAAGGGAGATTGAGATGGCTATGAGCCATGCAGTGTTATCAAATCTTTTCAGCCATGTATTTTTTAACATTGCATCTGTGAACTAATGCATGAACAAAGGAAAACAACCAAGAAAAAGGCAGCATGTTTCTGGGCTAAACAACATATGATTGGAGTTGCAGCTGTTTTAAAATTATATTAAGGGCAGGAGCTCAGTTAGGAATCTGCCTTCCTCTCAGACTTCAATTTAATATAAGCATTTCTTAAAGAGACAAGAACGCTAATGTAGTTAATTATGTATTGAAAGCCTTGAAAAGCTTAAAATGAGCTTGTTTTCTCCAAGACAGTTAGCTGTCCCTCATTTCTCTCTTCTTCTGTTACTATCTTTCCTATGCCTCTATGATCTGAATATTTCTCCATATAAGAGAAGATAGAAGATGGCTTTCAAGAAGGGGAGAATGAAAGTCCTAATTTAGGAAGCTGCAGATTCTTAGGCAGACTGATTTTCTTCCCCCACCTCAATTCTCTCCTACAAGCTACACTCCCCTGTGCTATCATGTACCAGGTGTACACTTTGATTACTGTGTTTATCACACTGTGCTGTGATTTGTGTGTGTGTGTGTACTTGTCTGTCCTCACTTCTAAATCTGTAAGCTTGTCCAGAACAGGGGCTATATTTTATTTATCTTTATACCCACAACACCTAGCACAGAACCTGGAAAATTGCGCGATACCTCCTTGTTCTACTTTCCCAAGGCACCCCATGGATAGTACCTTCTTTTTTCTAACCCATAAAATTTAGGCACAAAGAAATGAACTTTGGGCCTCTTGCAAGAAGAGCTTTGATATCTGTGTAATATCACCATCTGTAATAATTCCTTATACATTTCAATCTTCTGAATAATTTCAATCTGCATATCCTATATCAACAGTGATCATGCCGATGATTCATTCATTGATCATTCCTGGTCTTAAATTTACTGGCAGAGAAAGGGCTCTGGAAAATGGGTAGTACATACTTTAGTAGCTAATGATAGTTATTTACTAGTATCATGCAGTGTGAAAACCATTATACGTGGAAGATCATTTCTTTCTCACTGCAGCCCTATGTCCCAGTTGGTTTGGTAAAATAGTAATTAACAGGAACTCAAACTCTGCTTCTGTCAAAATCATTACTAATGTGTTTTTTTCCAGTTGGATCCTATGGTGATCCTCAAATGAGCTCCTTTAATCCATGTCAGTGGTAAAGGGCTGGCTGGGGCCAGGAATTAAAGGGAATGCTTCCTGGAACATACTCTGCACTGGCATCATCAGAGTTGTGTTTACACACAACTGTCTTGGAAGATGGGACCAAACTGGCTATGAGGGGTGGGCACCGCTCAGCAATATGACCCACAGCAGAGGTATATGTCACTCAAGGGCCACCTGTCATTAAGCAGTTAACATGATGACAGCCTAATAAGAAAGTCACCAGATTCACTTTGTTATAAAGCAGAAACTAACACACCATTGTAAAGCAATTATACCCCAAAAAGATGTTAAAAAAAAAAAAAAAAAAGAACGTCACCAGAGTGCAAAGGTAGCTATAGGGCTAAGGAACAATCCTGGACCTCATTTCCCAATGATGCCCCATCGCTTCACAAGAGCCCTGATGGCGTGTGGTTCAGTTCATCACCAATCTCAGCAAACCCGCCCTAGCTCACTGATTTTCCTATTGCCTCTCTGTGAAACAGCAGGACAGCGTCTTTTTTTGTGCTTTCAAAAAAC